TGACTAGCGTGTAATTTATAACAGCTTTTCGGTACTATAATATATGTAAGTATTTAAAGATATAGCTTTCAAATTACAGGATACTTGACACCTTCGTCCTTAGAAATGATAATGTAACTTATATATTTCGGAGTATCCATTTTGTTATATTTTTTATTTTATATGGTGCTTAATAAAAAGTTATATTAAGAGCTATATACCCCTATAGTTAATTTAAGTCATGTCAATAATTAATTTCATTATAAAGACAAGAAGATTTTCATAGTAGACATAGAAATATGAAAGTTCTAGTTGTTATTGCTATGATAGAAGCCAAGTCTCCAAGTTATCTATTCGTAGACACCCGCCTCCTCTCAAAGTAGATACCACACTCTGTATACGCGTCTCTCTCTATACTATAGAGGATTGACAGTATATTTCTCGCTTTGTAAACCTATAACGGCCTCGTTATAACAACGACGTAAGTCTGTAAATTGATCAAATAATTTGTACTCTATTTTTCTTAACGATAAGATATAGAATACTGTAATCAACTTCTAAATTTTTATTAAAGAAATTAATCAATAAATTTCATTGTAACTTTGTTTGATACAGGGTGTAATAATAACCAAAAACTTTCAAATTAGCTAGTAGTATGCGTTGAAAAGGATTTTTACTATTTATAATCACATCTGAACTTAAACTAAGTACCTACTGGGATTATTATATGTGGAATGACAGAGGAATTGGTGGACTTAATGGTAAGTAGTAACGATTTCCATAAACTACAATACCACCACACTAGAAGCTATTATAGCTTCTAGTGTGGTGGTATTGTAGTTATGAATATTGATAGTCTATGAATACTTGGCGGTAAATAGGTGAGACAGAGGTTTATTTCAGGTATATATTCCCTTGTAAAAAAGTAAAACAAGGCTATCTAACAATCTACATGTAAAAGACCATCGTGACTTGCCAATTTAATAAAGAACTTATTGAAACAATAACTTATTTCATGTAATTTTTGGACGTTAATGCTTTACAAGTGGTGTTCGCAAAAGGTAAGTTGTTAAAATGGCTATATTTTTTGTTATTTTCGTATATAATTGCTACCTCGAGACGGAAAGCAGATGCGTGTGACTTCTTTTCAAATTTTACGTGCACAATTACTATGACCACGACAGCAAAGGACTTCGGATATCTTTTTAATTTTAGAAAAATAATTTCATTTGCTAATCTAGGACTTCTATTTTAATAAAATCAGTAGATACATATAGTACCTGTCTACTAATAGAAGTAAAACGGTTAGATTGAATAAATAATTATAAAAGATGTTCAAAATTTAGAAACTTAATGTATGTTTCGATACTCATGTTATACTCGAAAAAATGAAATTATGTCTGTCTGTTTGTTGCCTTTTCAAGGCTGACAGCTCTCACTAAACGGCTAAAAAGATTAAAGAATTAAAGAATTTATTTAAACCAAAAACAAAGTTATAACAATAACATATTAAACATAAACAACTACATTAGTTTACAAAAAACTGTGTTGCAGCTATTTGCGCCCATCTCCAAAGCATTGTATACAATTTAAATAAAAACAAATGAAAATAAATGAATATTACTCCTTAAGAACATTTAGAGAAAGACAAAGTATATAAAATAAAACAAATGATATTTATAATTTATGAGCATTAGAACAAGTGTGTGTGTGAGTGAGTGAGTGTGTGCGTGTGTGTGTGTGTCTGTGTGTGTATATGTATGTATATACGCGCGTTTATTGCACCTATGTATGCGTTTTATGTATTCCTTTATCTTCTGATCTTACTGAAATTTCGAGATAGATAGTATTACTGTGGTTATTAGAAGCTATATGTTATCTGTGCTATTATCTAAAAGTAAAAGGGCATAGTTGCAGGAAAAAGACAGTATATACACTTAGATCTACAAAATTGGAGCTTAGACCTACAAAATCCTTTAATTTAAAAGTGTTTGATAATGAATATACTTATTCGCAATTATGACCTTATTTACGTGGTAGTTAGATAAAATTTGTAATGTATTGTTTTTTTAATGAACGACGTGTCCCATACAGTGCGTATATTGTTAACAAAGAATGCAACGTTATAGGGGTGAATAATTGCAATGTTTTGAATTTATTAGAAAATGTCATCGTTATTATTAATTAACACTGTGTTTATTTTTAGTTTCTTAGTGTTGTGGACTTCCGCTGTACAGGTCCGCCTAGTGCGGGCTTCAATGTATAATCAATTTTGTAATAATTATGAGTTTCACAAAAAAAGGACGTTTATTATAATTTTACTTTTCCTTAACCAAAATTATAGCAAATTCGTTTTAAGTACAGAAATAACAACACTACTTTAAATACGATTAACATTTTTTTATTTTAACAAATTTTAACAAATTGTTAGAATGAAATAAACGCAAATATAAAAGAAATGTTACTTAAAAATGTGCCAAGTCTACAGTCTCCGCGGTAGTTCATTCAATGTCCAGTAATTCCCCTATAATTTGAGGGTGCCCGCTCGGGTGCAAACGCAGATTGTTCCTGAGATAGAGACACACAAACATATACGTCCACCTCAAACACTGTGGTGTACTAATTGCTGACACCTGGAATTCACGAAATCGTCTTTGTCCAGTATTAATTAAGAGGGAAAATAACTTCCTTACGTTCTTAATATAAATTGACATTTGATGAGTTTAATTTTATTTAATTAAAAAAACATATAGTAACACTTACATTTTATGTAACATAGAAGATATAGGTTTATGTATAGTAAATAGAAAGATCTTTATTCATAACCAAAATATTACAAACTATATAAATACACAAACAAATATGCATGTGTAACTCTAATAATTCAACTCTATAAAAAAATAAAACAATACGCTTTAATTTATATGTAAAATAAAAAAATATAGATACATATAGATATATATCTACTACAATAATATTATATACCTAGAGGAAAGATATATAAGGTTTGTATGTTTGTAATGGAAACTCTAGAAAATGTTAGACTGATTTTACTATGGCAGACGGCTTTACAATGGACACCGGTTCAATACCTCGTACCTACGCTACAAACCATTTGTATACAGGAGTGTGATTGTTTGTATTGGTCTGGGTGTTTTCTATATAGATAAGTTATCTATGTTTTTACAAAAAAAATGTATTTAAGTAATTATATCAGTTGCGGACTACCCATAACATAAGGTTTGCTTAGTTTGGGACTAGATGGTACTGTATGAATTGTCCAGAGATTATATTATTATTATATAGTGGTGATAATATCTATCTATTCTATTATATATCTAATATTGTTAGCTTAGTGTAATATAAATCAATTTTACAGTTTAGCACGCGTTTTATCCGGATAATAAACATAAAACATAAGCGAAGTTAGATAACATTTGCACCGAGAAATAGGTGAGTAATGAGCGTCATGTTTAAACACCATAACAAAAAACATAACCGATGTCCCCCGAACCTGTCTCATGTAGTTATGTAGCGTGTGGTACAAGCAATAAGACAATGCGAACATTATCACGGTAATGCACACATAGGTGAAGTTAGATAACATTTGCACCAAGACATAGGTGAGTAAATAGCATCATGTTTAAAACACAATTTAATGTCATTTAAAGACAAGTTTAAATGACAATAAATATAACCGACGCGCCCCGAACCGGACTGATGTAGATATATCGTGCATGGTACAAGCAATAAGAGAAAGAACTTTATCCCGGTAATGGATACAGTACATAGATGAAGTTCGATAACATTTGCACCGAGAAATAGGTGAGCAATGAGCGTCATGTTTAAACGCCATACCTAACAAAAAACATAACCGATATCCCTCGAACCTGAGTTATGTAGTTATGTAGCGCGTGGTTCAAGTAATAAGGGAATGCGAATTGCTAATGCTTTTCCCGGTAATAAGCACAATACATAGATGCAGTTAGATAACATTTGCACCGTTTTATTTAGAGTAGTTGTATTTAGTGATAAACAACGTATGTTAAATGTTAAATCAACTGAAAATATACAATGTTTTTTTATAGTTAGTTTCCTGGTAATATATAATCCAGCACAATCCACTAAAGAAAACAAAAAAAAAATTAAAATAAATTGATCACAAGTAAATATTAATGTGATCAAACTTGATTTGTATACCTACTCAACTTTAAAAAATCTATGACTAGACTGTATGACCAATGCTTTGTCTTTGACTTGTCCATATTGGCTTAATTTTGAATCAATGAACAATTTTAGAGCTATTTTAAGTATAATATTATATATTATTCTCATTATATACATATTATTCTTTATATATGATGTATATGTCCATATACATCATATGATATATAAAGAATTATCTTAGTAAACTATATCGACAAGACTTTATCGCACTGGTTTACCTAAAAATTGGTACTATAAATACAATTTTTAATATTAGTATAATACTTCTAAAGTTTCAGCTGAAACTTTGGATTTGTTATGATCCTGTAAATTTGAGATAACAATGCGAAAAGGTGTCTTCTTCATAACGGACATTCGCTAAGCGCCATTCCTTCCCTCCATTTCTATAGATATCACTTATACATCGATGTTCGTATCTTATCTATTTAACAGTCCTTAGCATCCGCCCCGCAAAATACCAGAAACACACCTACCATTATAGCTAATGCTCCATCCACCGCCTTATTGAAACCACTTAAAGTCTTTAATCGCACATAAAGATGACACGTTAGTTTACGAGAACAGACCAGATAACTAAGAACTCTATAGATGTTACATATTCCCCGCGAAAACCTGCATTTTGTGAATGATAAAGAGGCGGGGGAGATCATATTAGATTGGTGGAACTAGTAGGTATGAGGGAAGTGTGAAGAGGCTAAGAGGTGTATCGTCCCCACCGTTCCGTTCCGTTGTAGGCGGAGCCCGGAGCGCAGGACCGACACGCTCCAGTCACCGTTACAACCGCTCCACGCACCGCGAAGAGCTTACGCAGAGCTTGCAACGGAAAGCAGCGTTTTCAAATTTCGAACGCTTTTCAAATTCGAACGCGATGTTCTAATTGGTTTTCAAAATTGGAACCTTCAAGCCCGGGCATGGTTTTTAATTAAAAACCCTTTTTCTGGACTGCCAGTTTCGCGTTGTTGAACTTTTTTTATATTTTTTCCGGCGCCGAATACAAAAGAAACATTTCCATAATACAAATAAAGTTAATGAAATTGTAGTGTTTTCTCCTCAGTTTAGTTGTACGATGAAGTTATTCTTCCCATTTAAATCGACTGAGATATAAGCATCATTATTAAACATTGAGGTAAGTTTTTTTAATAAATTAAAATAATTTATTGTAATGTTATCAATTTCTTATTAAACATTTAGACCAGATAATATTGAAATTTAGTCAATAAATAGATAAATATTTAACAAAATAAATACTAACAAATAGGCACAAACATCCTTGTATAACACATATAGATAGATAGATAAAAAGCTTTATTTTTCCCAATTCACACAAAATCTATTCTATGTCCTGTAAACTCCTTTCGGGGTTTGTCTGCTTGTACGTAGTTCGCTCTTAGTTACTAACTCTTTATGTAGTATAAAATGAAGTTGATTCCGCAGTGTGTTCGCTATTACGCAAAGGATATTAATTTAGTTTTTAACAATAGACAGAGTGACTCAAGAGGAAGGTTTATATGTATAGGTTTACATGTACACCCTTGCGAAGCTGGGGCGAGTAGCTAGTAGGTATTATATAAATACATATACATAAATATTTAGTAACTAGGAGCAAACTACATATTTATTATAATTGCCCACATAAAAATACGGTATTCCGCTTTTATTATATTTTTATATTACTTACTACTATATTAGGAAAAAGGTAATTATTTTTTTATGTTTGATAAGTAATTTTTTACTGTATTTTAGTTTCTAAAGGAAAAATTGGATTATAATCTCCTTGTACAACAACACACATGTAGCATATTGATAACAAAAGACATCAACGCGCTGTAATGTTTTATTTATGTGGATGGACGGTTTTGTTTTATTTTTATTGTAAATTTTATATAGAAAATATCATATATATTTCAGCTCTACATCTAAATAACGTATGCTAAATATCTACCAAATCTAGTTAGCTTATACTATAGAATAGAATATTTTCAAGAGTATAAAAATCAAGTTTATAGGAATGGCTATTTGTGTTATTAAGTAACTGGTTTCCTTAAATATCTTTTTTAATGTTTGGCTCTACATTTGGGAAATCCAATTATCACATTCAAAATGTGTCCCTTGGGTAGCCTAATTGGAAACTCTCAGTCCGAGCAATGGAAAGATATTATTTTAAATGTTCTATATGTCTACTTTAGATATATATTTATTTGTCTAAATAATTATACATATTATAAAAATCCATAGGTATCATACTAATATTATAAATGTGAATGTTATGTTTTCTCGACTAAACAGCTGAATATAAATTTATGAATTTTCACATGAAGATATCTATAATTACGAAGACGGACATATGCTATATTTTATCTCAAAAAATGATGTAGGAGGTGGTGAATAGGGGATGCAAGTTTGTGCAGACGTGGTCGGAGGTAATAGCATGTTTACTATAACTGCATAAAGTACCTGAATATTTTTTAAGGAATTCCAATAAACAGTATAAGTGAGTATATAGCGCAATAAAACCAACTAATATATACCTATCGATAAACTAAAACACAAGTACTTTAGATTTAAAAAAAATAACACGCATTTAATTAATTTATTCTTTTTTTGTATTACATGTATTTATTGTCATCCATGTTTGTGAAAATAAATAAAAAAAATATTGAACATGAAGTCTGACATCACCAATTGGATACAAAAGAGGCTTTCTCTAACTTAAAAATAAAACTCTCTTGTAGTCAAATTAGAAATCTGTTACGAGTATATTTCTCACATATGAACTGACTATACTGTATACTCAGTAGGTGTTCTGAGAATAATTGTCATATTTCCAGTTTATCAGTATTATTTACACAAAAAAACATAATTAGGTATCCGTGTGTATTTGTCTAAAAATACAACTGTTGTTTGTTTCGATATAAAAAAACTGCAGATATATTTACACGTTTAGTTTTCTTTTTTATGCTTTTACCGGAACTAAGAAAGAAAAGCTGAATCTTAACCCCGAATGAACAAATTGCAATCTTAGTTACAAACAGTTTGAGTTAAAATTTAAAATATATTATTAATTATTTGTTTACAATTTTTATTAGTTATATTTTTTAATTGACAATAATTTTGGTTTAAAAAAAACATAATTGTTTGATTTCCTTCCCATGATTTTGTCATCTTCTTTTAAGATAAAAGATAGACTGTGTGCTCAAAATCTATTTTCATATCAATATATTATTTCAACATCTCTTCAGTAGTTTAGTTAGGTAAAAGATACAGTAGGACCGATACAGTTTGGCATTTATAAAATTAATATGGATTGTTGTATGTGTATTTACGAAATTATAAAACTTTTGGATCCTGATTCTTTCAAAGATCCAGTTTTTGAAATAAAATCGAAAATAAAACCGTTGCTGAAAATTGTCTACACTACAGCGCACAGCACTATTAAAAGTGTTGGCTGGAAGTGGCGCGACGGTCACGGTGTGTCCACAGCGTGGGATATAACTATTGTAACAACACTAACTACACTTCCTAATAACAATAATTATTATCATCTCTATTAACAGCGGCGTAGAGCTTTGTTTCAATGTATATTAAAATATAAAGTGACAAGCGAAGAGCGGCAGTCTTAACTTAAGGATATCTTCTATATAAAAGAACTGACTTCTATAACAATAGAATCCATCGTTTTGGAGACGTAAGTTTTGAAGTCTATTATAATGAAAATGCCTTATTTGTTTAATTACATTTCTATAGTAGCTATTTGTATAAACATAGTTACAATTTGTAATAATATAATTTGATAGTGATTTTATGTTTATACATACAAACTAATAAGTACGGTATAATGAAACTAGGGTCTTTACTTGTAATTTAAAATTTACCTACACAATATATCTGGCAAAAATACTTTATTTTCTACTTTTTGTAGTATGTACATTAAAGTATATAGTATAAATAAATAAATTTAATTATTCTATAGGATGATGGACAGAAAATCTAAATTAAAATAAATAAGTTAAGGATAAGTGACGAATGTTTAGACTATACCTAGAACCTAAACCTGTCGGGGGGAAAGGGGATTGTTAGTAATGTGGACTTAATAACCCATTACTAGCAATGTACCATGTCAGGTTGACCTCCACGCGGTTCCCTCTGGAAACCATCGTGATAAATTCTTGGTGAATTTGTCACGATGGGCAACTGATGGGTAACTGACCTGACCTCATGTTCATCTTATCATCCTCCACTCGTGCCCCGCCAGCGTAAACCGTTAGCGCAGGTGGGTGCACCATTCCATTATCATCCTTAAAAAAAAACCTAAACCTGTCTAACACAGTTATAAAATTTTCTGCAGTTTCGATCACATTGTACGTATAATACCTGTATCACCTAAAATGAATTTAGAATTAAGAATGTACGTGATTGTATTGTTAAAAAGTATATGTATACCTCATACTATATATACTACGATATAATACATAAGTACATAGCGCAATATTAGAGTTTGTATTAATCGAAATACTAAATTAGAGAAGATTATATTATATAATATGCAAATTACATATCAATAAGTAACACTTAAAGGTAGGTAACGAAATGAGTTTTTAAACTAAATTTTAAATTAGAAATTATAAATATTTGTTGAGTAAAATTTATCCAGTAGGCACTTGACGATTACTTCGAACAAAAACATACAACAAATGAATAATTAGATAAATTTGACGTACTATAGTTGAATACCTGCTAAACGTTACATTAAAAAGTAAATTAAAAAATATTTTGCATGTTATCTTATGTCGCCGAACCAATGCTAAGTTTACTTTTTTTGATTTCTACAACACAGATATAGCATAGTGTGGGGTCATAGATAAACTGAATCTTAAATTAAGTTTTCTGAAAATGAAGTTATTCTTATTCTAATTTTGACCCCTAACGCAAAAAGAGAGGTACGTTTGACGTGTCTGCAATCTGTGAATCTGTCTATTGTAAAATAAGTACTAAACGAATAACATTATTTTAGATTACATTACTGGTCACACTTATCTTTTTTTGCAAGAGGGTGTAATACCTAAGTAATATTATATTTAAAATTCAAGGCGACTTTAAAAATGCGTTATTGTAATGCAAACCAATTGAAAATAGTCAAGGTGTTCATATATCATTAATGGCACGTAATTAATGGACATAATTATGTCAAGAATAATACTTTCTTATACCAGCCATTGTAACATTTGTAACCCATTAATACACACTCATAAATACCATGCAACCACCTCGGCCTCAGTAGTACAGCGGTTTAACGCACTACCATACTTCTGATGATCGCAGTTTCGATTACCACATCATGGGTAGGTTGTTTGTATTGTTCTGGGTGTTATTCTATTTAGGTACCTATATTAAGTATTCATTTACAAATTACAGTTAAGTTTGTCTATCACTCGTTTGGAACAAGTTCTGATTACTTTTGGGATTATATGGTTTTGTCTAATTGGTATGTTATATATTTTTTTTATTTATTTCATTAATTCGGATATTCATCCATATTACTTTATTAAACTACTTATAAACTATGTTAGTAAAGAAACTTGTAGTTTAATTTATATATCTATGTCCATGTCTAAATGCACTGGATCCGCAGCAGTGCAATGATATATAGTACCTCTGAGTGGACAGTTACATACCTACTATCATTATTTCATTATGATGTAATTGCTATCTGAAATAATTACAATAAAAAAGAACAAGAGGATATTAAAATGTATAACATTCTCGTATATACCTGCATAACTATACTCATGCTTTCGAACTTTATCATAGCCATATTTTTAAGATGTCACAACATTTTAAAAGGACCATAATAGAATGTTGTTGTGACAAGGCATAAAAGTTTTTACAAGATAATGCTGGCAACTCTATCTATTAATAACAATAGATTCTTATATATGGATTCCGGTAAGTGCGAATTATTCGCCTTTAGACGGCACCTAATGTTTACAGATGTGTTGTATAATGTACACATGTTTAGTTGCATACTTTGTTATTACTAGATTATAACAGTATATCAGTTCGGAAATTAAGAAACTTCTATTATACTTATATTCTTAAAAATATCTAAATACGTTTAAAAAGATTTCA